CTGCCATGCGTCTCAAGGTGTCATAAACCTTAAGAACCCCAACCTCTGCTTAAGAGCTTTAAAGTACAAAATACATCTGTTGAAAGGGAATCTGTCGGGACTGAGATATGGGGCGCTGCCATTTTAAAGGTTGGAGCGCCAGGGCCGGGACAAGGGGTGAGCAGGAGGGACAGCTGCCCCCGGGTACAATGGGGATTTGGAGGGGTTTTGTGCTGGAAGAGGGGGTGAATTTGTACAAGGAGAGTGTATCTGTGTTAGGAAGGAGGATTTGTGCTAGAAGGGAAAATTTGGAAGGGAGGGGGATTAGTGCTTGGAGAGGGATTGGGGGGGATTTGTGCTGGAACAGAGGGATTTGGAGGGGGGAGAGGAATTATGCTCAGAGGTGACATTTGAGGGGGGGAGGGAGAGGATTTGAGCTGGGGGGGGATTTGGGGAGGGAGAGGATTTGAGCTGGGTGTGGGGATTTTGGGGGGATTTTGGGGAGGGAGAGGATTTGAGCTGGGTGGGGGATTTGGGGAGGAGAAGGATTTGAGCTGGGTGGGGGATTTTGGGGAGGAGAGGATTTTGAGCTGGGTGGGGGGATTTGGGAGGGAGAATTTGAGCTGGGTGGGGGGATTTGGGGAGGGAGAGGATTTGAGCTGGGTGGGGGGAATTGGGAAGGGAGAGGATTTGAGCTGGGTGGGGGAGGAAATTTTGGGGGGAGAGGATTTGAGCTGGGTGGGGGATTTGGGAAGGGAGAGGATTTGAGCTGGGATGGGGGGATTTGGGAAGGGTAGAGGATTTGAGCTGGATGGGGGGATTTGGGGAGGGAGAGGTATTTGAACTGGGTGGGGGGGATTTGGGGAGGGAGGAGGATTTGAGCTGGTGGGGGGATTTGGGGGGGGATTTAGGAAGGGATGGGATTTAAGCTGGGTGGGGGGATTTGGGGAGGGAGAAGGTTTGAAATGTGAAGATTAGTGCTCAAATTGTTTTTTTTTTTTTTAGGGGAGGGGATTTTTGCTGACACATAATGTTCATACATTTGGGGGGGCGTTTGGCATGTTCGTCCTGGGATCTAGGTGACCTTGTCCCGGCACTGTAGAGCGCCATCCTTCTTGTCATCACTCCCTGTCATGGAGCCAAAACACATATGCTGGATAGGAGTTCAGACTTTGCAACCACACTAGCCACATGCTGAGTCAGTGACTTTATTATGCACTGAAGGTCAGGACAAGTATGACAGCCCTAGAACCTGCATTCTAAAACAATGGCAGCTACCATTTTTCTGTCCTTGCAGGTCACTTTTGGACCTTGGGCGCATGGAGTATTCCCTCCCCCCCACACACACACAAACACTTCCCCTAATTGTTTTCTCTTCTTTTTGTATTTTTTTTTTTTAGTGCAACATTACCAAAGGAAAAAAGCCTTTTTTTTTTATTTGTGAAAACCTTTTTAATGACTTCCACCAGAAATGTAATTTTAGTTCCATTTAAAGGAGGAGGATGAAGAGGGCCTGCCCCGGAACATTTGCCTAGAGTAACCCTGCACTACCATTGTCCTAATAGGACCATGTGGCCACACTAGGTCCACGTCACAATCATCCACACCCCTTTGTTATGTGCTGCTGCAGGTTGGGGAATCGCAGCTCGTTGGGACAGTGCAGTATGCAATCGTGTGATAGCTTCTCATGGGTTTAGGCAAATTTGGATCGGAATCTGGCCCATCCCAGAAATATTGACCAGTAATGACCCTGACAGGGGTCCTCACCATTCCAAATTAAAAAAAAAAAAAAAAAAAAAAAAGTTTTGACTGTAGACATACTTTAAGAAGAATTCCAGCTATGGTATATTCTTGCATAGTTACATTGTTCCAACTTGGCCCAACTAAGTATATACTATACCTGGCCGATGCCCCTGGAAGCTGGAAAGCACTGAAGTAGACACTGCTATTCAGGGCAACCATCAGAAATTTTTTGGGCCTCTTACACGGCTTTAGGCCTGGTTCTTCCCGGGCCTGACCACCAACATTCCCCAGGACTGCCCACTGGCCGTCCCACTCAATATTCCCACTGGCCATCCCACCGAGACAACAACTCGCAACTTAATATATCCTCCAGTCCCATTTCTTCTTCCTCCAGTCCCGTCTCCTCTTCCTCAAGTCCCGTCTCCTCTTCCTCAAGTCCCGTCTCCTCTTCCTCAAGTCCCGTCTCCTCTTCCTCCAGTCCCGTCTCCTCTTCCTCCAGTCCCATCTCCTCTTCCTCCATCCCGTCTCCTCCTCTCTCCAGTCCCATTTCGTGCCCCTCCAATCCCACACTCTCCTCTCCAGCCCTGTCTCCTCCATCCCACACCCTCCTCCTCCAGTCTCATCTCCTCCATCCCATGTCCTCCTCTTTCTCCATCCCATGTCCTCCTCCTCTCCCTCCAGTCTCATCTCCCTCATTGAATGTCCTCCTTCTCCTCAATCTCATTTCCTCCTCTGCCTCCAGACCCATCTCCTCCTCTTTCTGCAGTCCCATCTCCTCTATCCTATGTCCTCCTCCTCTAGTCCAATCTCCTCTATCCTATGTCCTCCTCCTCCGGTCCCATCTCCTCTTTCCTATGTCCTCCTCCTCCAGTCTCATCTCCATCCCATGTCCTCCTCCTCCAGTCCCATCTACTACATCCTGTGTTCCCCTTGTACATCCCATGTTCTCCTCCTCTTTCTCTAGTCCCATCTCCTCCATCTCATGTCCTCCTCCTCCAGTCCCTTCTTCTCCATCCCATATACTCCTCCTCCCGCATCCCATGTCCTCCATGCCATGTTCTCCTTCTCCTCCAGGGTGAGAGAGGGGGGTGAGAGGGGGGTAAGCGTGAGAATAAAAGAGGTTTAGAGATGGGGTGAGAGAGCGAGGGGGGTGGGAGGGTGAGAGAGACCGAGAGAGTGGGGAGAGAGTAGAGGGTAAGAGGGAGATCGTGAGAGAGAGAGAGAGAGACCAAGAGAGTGGGCTGAGAGAGAGACCGAGAGGGGGGTGAGAGAGAGAGGGGGGAGGTGAGAGAGTAGAGGGTAAGAGGGAGATGGTTAGAGAGAAAGGGGGAATGAAAAAGAGAGAGGGGGAGAACACTTTGAATCTTAATGAATTCAGAACGTAGTCTGACTAGATGAGGTTGAGAGGCGATGTCCCAATCTCCACCTTGTCCAGTCAGAGAAAAATCTGCATTCATAGAAAAAAATGCAAAGTGTTCTCTGAATGTCTATTCCAGCCTTTCTCAGCCTTTTCAACACAGAGGAACCCTTGCAATAACTTTCTGGTCTCAGCAAACCCCAGCAAAAAATGTATATATCTACAACTCATGATACATTAATGTGGTGGTCAGTGGGAACAATGCTCCTTACCAGGGGCAGACTGACCATTCAGAAACCTGGGCACTGCCCGAGGGCCCGGGGTCAGTAAGGGGCCCCATGATATGCCTCTGGTTCCTTTCATAGGCTTTTTTGGGTGTGGTTTCAGTGTGGGCAAAGACACAGGGGCCCCATGATCCCCTATTGCCTGGGGGCCCCATGAGTTGTCAGTCTGCCCCTGCTCCTTACACTTTTGGTCATTGGGAAGAACTACCCCCTATAGAACCCCTAGCAACCTCTGAAGGAATCCTAGTGATCCATGGAACCCTGGTTGAGAAACCCTGGACTATAAAGTGATTTCTAGCTGCTAGATAGATCCCACAGGTATCGTATATACATAGTTGGTCCAAGCTGGTTACAATGTAACTATGTAATACCTGGCAATTATACAGCGTGCTCCAACATTGACACCACATTGGTCTGTGGGTGATGGGGGGTCAGAGCCCTGAAGGCTCCGGGAGACGGGGAATCATTCAGCGAGAGATATTTGGACATCCTGAGAATGAGAATCCTTTCCAATTTAAATACAAATCCTCTAAATTCGATCGTTCTTAAAGCTGAGTAAATAAGAAGCGTCGGCACATTAGTCATGTGGATCCACCAAGACGGGTAGAATACACACCGTGTCAGGGGGGTGCTTGGGGCGCGTTCATCACACCGGCGGGGCCGAAAATAGAGCCTATTGATCAGGAGCCTTCCAGCTCTTCACGCAGGATGTGTGTCTGAAATCCATAATTAAAATACCATCGCAAGAAAAATGTTCCTTTCTCCTGCGCAACGGCGGGAAACAAAATTCAGCGGCGTTCCACTGCCCAGTATCTGTCTCTAATTACGCCGTTAGTTAGTCATTAGTTTGAAAAAGAGAGATGTGAGGTCCGTGAAATTGTATCGTTTTCATGCGCGCTCTTGCTCCGGGAGCTGCGAAAGAAAATTGTGATTAATCCCGTTTCCACGCCGCATTGAATAGAGAGGAAATTCTCGCCCGACTCCCTAAGCGGCAGCCAGATTACCCGCGGGATCAAACTATCACTGCGCTAATCTTGTCGGCTTTTGTTACGCTCCAAAGATTTCAAAACATATTTATTGTTTATCATTTTCAACGGTCGGCGTGCGAACAGTTCAAATCATTTTATTTTTTTTTTCAGCTCTTTCCGTTGTCACTTAATATCATGAATCAACGCGGGAGGCGTCGGCTACAAAAAAAAAAAACCCTGACGGGTCGTATATATACGCCGGCTTTGATGTATGGAGCCATAATCTGCGGAAGATTTGAGTAAAAAGCGAACGCGAGCGCGATGATTCATCTATGTTTAATGAATAGCTCATCCTTCCAAAGCCGACAAGATTTGATAAAGGGCCCCAGAAGGGTTATTAATTTGTAGCGTTTTACGCCGCCCGTGAATCCCACCGAGAATGTTTATTCCTCTAATGAAACAGCCGATATGTATAACAAATATTTTATCCCTTCGGCAACAAAAGGGAAAAACAATTGTCATAAACCGCGGCGGGAAGGTTTATCGCGAGCGGTGAAATGTGAAAAGTGCCGTTTATTGCTCTGACGATGGATGGGGAAGGGAGGTGCCGATGAAAAATGTTTTTTTTTCCCTAAATTCTGCTTTTTTTTTTTTTTTTTTTATCCGCAGACTCTCAATAAGAACAATTTGCTCCCGGATGACCGAACCAATTTTTACCCGCTGCAGCAAACCAACGTCTACACGACGACGTACTATCCCAGCACGCTGAGCAAATACGACTTCCGGCCGGACTCCTCCCCGGGCAGGACTTTCACCAACAGCTGAGGTTTGGTTCCCCCGACTTCGCACTGAGGCTCCATCTCTTACCCCCCGTCTCACGCTTCATAAACCGCGGCCCAGCTCCTTCCACCAACCGAACGAGTCGGGCAAAGCTCTCAGACTGGACCTGCTGATCCTTCTTTGGCGCGGATGCCGCCGCGCTGGAGGAACGCCCCCCCCCCCCCACCGCCTCCCTCCTCCTTTAAGTACACGGTCGGGTGAGGAGTAGACTTCGAGGTCTCTGGATACTTGAAAAAAAACGAGCAAGCTGCTTCTGCGTAGGAAACCCCATCGGAAATCGTAGATTGATTTTTTTTTTTTTTTTGGGTGATTTGTGGAATCGTTTGACGCGTTCACATTTGAGTGATTTTTCGAGGAAAAAAAAAAAAAAAAAACCCGACGTGTTACACTGAATGGCTTCATCGCTTGCTTTACCGGCTTTCCACTTGGCGTGACTGCGAGGCTCCGATCCTGACGGTATTTCCTGGAATCGATCAACGGCCTCAAAAACCTGTCTACAACAACCCCCATCGTTCTACTGATGAAAAAAAAAAACATAAAAAACGAGAAGGGCGTTAAAAAAAAAAAAAAAAAAAAAATACAAAAAAAACGTTTTGAAAAAGACATGTTTGTGCATGTCTATGGAATAGGGAGGGTAACGGATTAACACGTAGAGACTATTCCATGCAGCCTCTAACACCATCGCGGGATTTTATAATTAGGGTTAAGTAGTAGCTCCATTAACACGGCCTCCTGCTCCCGGCATGACAAAGACGATCTTCGGCCCGCCCTACGGTTTGGTTGGGCCCCGCGGTTGCAATTCTGACCTGGGAAATTTTTACATCCAAGTTATACCCCTCATCGACACTGGCTTTCGTCCTCTGTCAATTGCTAAGGTAACTTTTTTTTTTTAATATCAGGGTTTTATGAGAAAAAAAATAAACAAGGACGCATCAGCACGTTGAGTGCGCGCATGGAACGGTCAGGAACCTTCGGGAGCAGGTGTGTCCGTGGCGTGCCGACCGACCGACTGACCGACCGCCCGCCCGCCCGCAGGGCCTATGTCTCACGAAGCAACGACGAAGAGGGCAGCCTTCGGATCGGTCGCACGCTCTGATGTAATAACTCGTTCCGATGTACAAAGACTCGCTCACCATTGGACGTTTTCTGCTCTTGGTTTTGTCCAAGCCGATTTCCTTTTTTTTTTTTTTTTTCCTTTTCATGTTTACTAGAATGACGAATGTTGTTATTTTTTATTTTTAGATAATTTTTTTTTTATAAATATATATAAAAATAACAAAGACAAAGAATGTCACAAGCATCTTGTCTTCCACACTGTATGTTTGATCCAAAATCTCGGTAATAAGAGTTTATGGCTTCGTGGCGATCGGAAACCTGCGCTAAAGCAACAGATGAAGTCCGAGGCCGGTTGTTTGGGATTGGATTCCAAAAACAGAAGATTTTCCAGTTCTACAGGTTGGGGTGGGTTTTTTTTTTTTTCTTTCAGTCGTTGGGTAGTTTGAGAGAGGTGGTGTTAGATTGTGTTGAGTTTTGTCTGATGTGAATGCAGAATTTGTAGATTTTAGATGTTTAGAAATTTGAAAAAAAAAACTGCAGCAAAGCAAATGAGATGTTCTTTATTTTGCTGCAGGTGGGCTCTGCTTTTTGATGGTGTTCAGGCAATCCCCCTGCTCTTGAAGAACCACAAGTTCCTCCATCCTTGGTGGTCCTTCAGTGCCTGAAGAACCACAAGTTCCACCAACCTTGGTGGTCCTTCAGCGCTTGAAGAACCACAAGTTCCACCAACCTTGGTGGTCCTCCAGCGCTTGAAGAACCACAAGTTCCACCAACCTTGGTGATCCTCCAACGCTTGTAGAACCACAAGTTCCACCAACCTTGGTGATCCTCCAGCGCTTGAAGAACCACAAGTTCCACCAACCTTGGTGGTCCTCCAGCGCTTGAAGAACCACAAGTTCCACCAACCTTGGTGGTCCTCCAGCGCTTGAAGAACCACAAGTTCCACCAACTTGATGATCCTCCAGCTCTTAAAGGACCACAAGTTCCACCATACTTGGTGGTCCTCAGCGCTTGAAGAACCACAATTCCACCAACCTTGGTTGTCCTCAGCAGCTTGTAAACCACAAGTTCCACCAAGCTTGATGATCCTCCAGCTCTTAAAGGACCACAAGTTCCACCATACTTGGTGGTCCTCCAGGTCTAGAAGAACCTCAAATTCCATCAATACTTGGTGGTCCTCCAGGTCTAGAAGAACCTCAATTTCCACCATACTTGGTGGTCCTCCAGGTCTAGAAGAACCTCAAATTCCACCAAGCTTATAGGTCCTGCAGTTCTTGAAGAATCACAGGTTCCACCAAGCTTGGTGATCCTGCAGCTCTTGAAGAACCACAGATTCCACCAAGTTTGGTGGTCCTCCATGTCTTGAAGAACCTCAATTTCCACCAAGCTTGGTGGTCCTCCAGCTTGGCGAACATTTGGAGATCTTCAAGAGGGAAGATTGCCCAGCGATGGTTTAGACAAATGTTTTGCGCCTTATTTTCAGCGATTGCAGTTTAAATCCATTCAGTGCCTCCTTTATTTATTTAAGGTTGGACATGGGGGGAAATTTAGGGTTTTACAGAGCTGTAGGACCGCGTGAAGGTGAACAGGTTACTTTGATCTGTCTTTGAGCAGGGAAAATGATCTTGGATTTGGCATAGGATTTCCTTCTGTCCTGTACCTGTGACCAGCTACAGCGTATGGCGCTTGCCGGTAATTACAAGGCAGGTCCCCCATGGTCAGTAGACCACTTCTGACGGAGGTTGAATTTTGGCCAATACTCAACACTGGTGTCATTGAAGTTGGTGGTAGGGTTGTCTCTTCAGTGGGGGCAGAGAGGAATTAGGGTACCACCAGACTTCTTTCTACAGATATGGATGTGTTTAATAAAATTGCTTCCCATAGACATTGGATGGGCAACTCCCAATTAGGTGACCATCATTATGTATTTCTTTGTGTACCCCCGGCCGCGCCTTATTATCGGGAATGTAGAGCAACTGGATGGGGTTTTTAGGGGTTATTCTTTTCTCGGGGATGGTGTTGCGTGAAAACATTGCATGACCATGAATGGGTGTCTGTAACTAATACATAATGGACTTGATGTAACGATTCAAAGGGATCGTTCTTACAGTGCTACCCTCCCAACCATAATCCCTATCACCAACCATAATCCCTATCATCAACCATAATCCCTATCACCAACCATAATCACTATCAGCAACCATAATCCCTGTCACCAACCATAATCCCTATCACCAACCATAATCCCTATCACCAACCATAATCACTATCAGCAACCATAATCCCTATCAGCAACCATAATCCCTATCAGCAACCATAATCCCTATCACCAACCATAATCCCTGTCACCAACCATAATCCCTGTCACCAACCATAATCCCTGTCACCAACCATAATCCCTATCACCAACCATAATCCCTATCACCAACCATAATCCCTATCACCAACCATAATCCCTATCACCAACCATAATCCCTATCACCAACCATAATCCCTATCACCAACCATTAACCTATCATCAACCATAATCCCTATCAAAAAGAACTCAATTCAGTATCTACCTATAAAAGTTACATATTTACTGTATGTAACAAAACTTTATTATTAGACTCAATAAAACATAATTGGATACAAATCTACGCTGCAATAAAAGCAATTTTAGGTGCATCTACTGTGTTTCATACACATGAGAGCAGGGAGAATGGGACAAGGGGTGAGCAGGAGGAACAACTACCCCAGGCAAAGTGGTCGGGGGATGGAGGGAGGGCACCCCCTCACCACATACCCCAGATTAGTGCCTATCAACCAGTGGGATGCGGCCTCATGTCTGCTTTCACAGCTACTGCTCCAAATGCCCACTTCTCACCCCATAGGCCCACAGTTGAGACAAAAAACACGCCGTACATGCACAACTACCAGTGCCAATCATGAGCAGCCGGTGCAAGGGGTCGGAGAATGGGTATAGGACAACACTCCGATTCTACGTCATGCATTAGCAGCAGAGGTGGGGAGGCTCAATTCCGCATCCTTGCCCTGCGGTCCTGGGAGATCCTGTCCTGGTTCTGCTTCAAAGAGTTGCCGTAAACGTATCGCCTTATCACATGCCCATGTCAACGCGTTTCAGAGGCAGCGTTCCCTTCTTCAGGACAAAACTGAGAGATTTTTCTTGAATATTGGCAATCGGTGATCTTTACACAAAATAAATATGATGTCATCGTTAATTTACATCATAGAAATTACAATCCCCGAAGGAAAACCCTAAAATACTTCCAGAGTTCACCATTTATGATAAAAGTTACTAATTGTATCCAATGATGTTTTACTGAGTCTTTTAATAGACGTTTATAATATATATATATCCATTTTAAATTATTGGTTACTATGGTAAAAAAAAAAGTCCCTAAAATCTGTATTGGGATTGGATCCCAATATGCCAAACTACACCTATGCCAACCTAGCACTGCTCAGGACTGGCACTGAAATGTAAGTTGGCACCCCTAGCACTGCTCAGGACTGGCATTGAGATGTAAGCTGGCATTCCTAGCAGTGCTCAGGACTGGCACTGAAATGTAGGTTGGCATCCCTTATCACTGCTCAGGACTGGCACTGAGATGTCAGTTGGCATCCCTAACATTGCTCAGGACCGGCACTGTAGATGTGGCAAGATGTAAGTTGGCATCCCTAACATTGCTCAGGACCGGCACTGAGATGTAGGTTGGCATCCCTATCACTGCTCAGGCTGGCACAGTTGGCATCCCTAACATTGCTGGCACTGAGATGTAGGTTGGCATCCCTAGCACTGCTCAGGACTGGCACTGAAATGTAGGTTGGCATCCCTATCACTGCTCAGGACTGGCACTGAGATGTAAGGTTGGCATCCCTAACATTGCTCAGGACCGGCACTGAGATGTAGGTTGGCATCCCTAGCA